ACACATTGAGACTTTATCTGGAATGATATTCATTTGACCCCCTGCTATAAATTTATCGTGCGACTGGCTGCAAGCGTGCTGATTTCAAAGGCAGATCTCGACGAAGGAACGTGCAAGTCGTTGGAGGACAAGATCGACGAGTGCGGCGAAGGTTTCACAGTTTGTATTTAGAAGAACTGACAGCAGAGACTAGGTAGGTATATAGGTAGACTAGAATGCACGACCTGCACCAACCTTTTAACTCAGATGAGCGTAGGGAGGATTTTGGCGGCCGGTGAAATTCATGTTGATATTTGGAAAATGCTTCCAAACCCATGATGATTCAGGGTGATATATCTCTATCTGTGTTGCTTCTCTATTGACATTTCTCAATCAAAAACACACACATTATTCTTTATCTGTTAATGCGATGCTCGGTACATTTGAATTTTGCGTGGCCAGAGAACGTGAGCGACTGTTTGGCTCTCTCTGGACATCATATTCAGCTTGCTTGCCTGAGTGCTTTTGGCCACATATTTGAGGTTTGCTTTATTGTACATTTTGTAATGATTTTGCTGATTGAATACCGTAGAACAATACGGATCAATTGTGTTTTAATTCTACATCATTTCCCAATCCTCATGTTTATGTAGCTCTTCCAATGATAGAGTCACACCTAGAACCTTGAAGCCTGTAAGGATGAAAGATACCAAATTACGGAGGACAATCTAAGGTTTATTAGATAGATGAAAAGAGGAAGTGGGGGGAAATGGGGCCATTGAGATAAAGAGAGGAAGGGATTGAGACGGGCTACAGCCGCTTGATACGCTTAATTTCTTCGGATGAACAAACTATAATAATAATAATAATATTATTAATAATAATAAGTGTATATTTCATGAAGCCCCGTGAAGCATGCATAGGCATGATCAAATGTACAAAATAATTATCCATATAGGAGAAGCCCAAAAGGAAAAATGTAAAGGTTGCAGTGAACATAATTACAAATGGAACACAAAGTGGAAAAGGTATCAGAGAAAAATGTTCGGGATGGCGGAATGCTCAATAGAGCAAGTCGGTGGAAGTAGGACGAAAAACAAGAATCGTTATACCCGATGAATGATGAGATATCTGGTAATACTGCAATCAGTGAGTAAAATAACAAGAGGCGGCCTGCAGATCGTTGGACGGGAATGGACGGAAACCGGCACAAGAGCGGATAGAATAAAGCAGAACAGAGTGAAACTGTCATAGAATATATATGCACTTTGCGCAGTGAAACAGATGAGTTCTATAGGGTCTTGATCAATGGTCTCAGAGGCTCCGATCAACAATGGACTGATTTGGGTTATTTACGTTATTTAGGCGTTGGTCGCTTTGATTTGGGACTGACTACACGCTAGGCACCCAACCTTAAAACACCTTGTAGGTGAGGCAGGGGATACGTTCCTCAAACTGATCCGGAATGCGGATGCATGTAGTCAAAGCGGTGGATACAGCCGCGCCAAACGACCATTGCCCGTGCCAAACTGTCCATTGCGGGTGTAGACCCCAAGCCTTCGTCAGGCCCAAACCAACCGAATCTGGAATAGGAAGGCGAACATCGGCAGTCTGGGGTAATACCCACCTGGTAAGAGATTGGGGAGAGAAATCGCAAGAAGCTAAAGAGAAAAAAGTCTAATCGGGGTGGGTGCTTAAGTCATTATACTGGAAAAGGATTTTATCAAAATATGTCTTGCTCTACAGATTCAAAATGGGGATGAATACGTGTATTAACAGTGGACACTGCTGCCTGGTTAGCATGTGCCACGGATCTGAGCCAAATGGGTCGGATAAAAACGCAATCACATGGATACGAAGTAAGGAACGGTGAGTCACGATGCTGAAAAAAAGATGTACCAAAGTAGATTGTGTTCCACAGATCCAGCTTTGAAGCTGGATCCGTGTGCTGATATCAAACTGACTGAGAAGGTGAACACTGCTACTTGGTTAGCATGTGACACTGAGGTTGGCCAGTTGAGTCAGACGAAAATGAGATCAAATGGATATAAAGAAAGAATTTCTGGGTCACAATGCGGAAATATGTATGTTCTGCATGAGTTGTCTTCAAGTTGTAAAGTAGTACTGGGTTTCGAGGCTTGCGCCAATACTCCCGGTTCTATATTTATCTTCTTTGCTGCTTTTCCAACAGTGTTTGGGGTCAGCCACTGGGGTCGCTGCTATGGCTTCACTTGGCAGTTTATTCCAGTCACTCACGACTCTAACCGGAAATGATGTGGCTAACGGTCCACAATTTACTCTATCCTTTACCAGTTTCAGTGCATGCCCCCCAAAAGTGAGGTGGTTTTACTTAGTTTCAGAAGCCTCTGGGTACCACCTCCTATATCTGCGATCCCTTCAAGGATCTTAAACGCCTCGATGGGGTCGCCTTGCCTCCTCCGTCTCTCTCATACGAGAGCTCTTTTAACCCTTCAAACAATATTGTGAAGCGCCTTTGAACCTTCTCCAGCGCTTTGGCATCTCTGACTAAGAACGCGCTCCACGCCCGAACACAATATTCGAGGTGTGGCCGTACAAACGCTTTATAGATGAGTAAGAGGACCTCCGGCCTCCTGGACCCTATTGCACATTGGAGCTGTTAAAGTGTTCCAGATGCTTTCTTCACAGCATTCCGACACTGCAAAAACGGGATGAAGTCTGAGATCATACTCACTCCTAAGTCTCATGTAGGGGATACTGAGGCCATTTCAACCTTCTGTCCAGGTGGGCCTATGCATTTCCTACCATGGTTCCCCATTGAGGTGCTGGCACTTTCGAACATTTAGAGGAAGGTCCAATACCTCAAACTATTCATGAATCTTGTCTAAGTCTCTCTCCAAAGGCTCCCCTGGTGTTGACCGGCGATTTTCACATCGTCAACGAACTTAAAGCAGGAGTTTTCGAGGTCCAGACTTAGGTCGTTTATGTATAGCAGAAAGAGGAAGGAGCCTAGGACGAACCTCTGCGGGACCCCAATACGAACTCTTCCTCTTTGTGACATGTATTCTGCTACACTAACCTCAATACTTCGGCCTGTCACGCATCTCGCGATCCATGCCATCACCCTAGGGGTGAGTCTAAACCCGCTTGGTTTCATTGGAAGCAGTCGGTGGTTCACCGAGTCGAAGACCTCGGCGAATTCGAGGTAGCAAACCTGTACTCAAATCCTTCGATGAACGCGCCTTTTCATTTTGTCTACGAAGGAAAGTAGGTTGGACAGGTATAACCGTTTCCTGGCAAAACCGTGTTGATGTGCGGTGAGCAGACCAATAAGACGAGGTGGTGGGCGATCCTATCGCGTAGGATTCTTTTCATTACTTTTAGTACTGCTGAGGTCAGGATCATTGGTCAGTAATTCGAGCACGATTCCCTATCTTTCTCTTGAAGATGGAGCAACCGCTACCAGTAACCAATACTCTGGCAGCCTATCCCTCTCTGAGGAGGCGTTGAAGAGGTTGTACACCAAACAATTCACACTTGAGTGACGCGTAACCGAAACCGATAGGAATCCCGAAATAAAACACGATCGATCCATAATGTTCTACGGTATTCACTCAGCAAAATCATTACAAAATGTACAATAAAGCAAACCTCAAGTATGTGGCCAAAAGCACTCAGGCAAGCAAGCTGAATATGATGTCCAGAGAGAGCCAAA